TTGAGAACCGCTGCTATAAAGGGCTAAGTTGACTCGCGCATGTGCGATACATATAAAGCTCTTGCTGGCACCAATCGCATGCGTTTGTTTCGATCTGTCATTGTCAGTCGTGAATTTGGTTGACACTTTATTATTGAGAAAGGGCAATAGCGATATTAAGATATTTCTCCTAATTAATTTCCCTTCAATGTGCACGAATTTGTGTACCGGGCCACTTGTATTTGCATAATAGAGATGTTCCCTCTAGTCATTGGTGTGGAGGATGGGATGGGGTTCGGTCAGGATGTGAGCCTAGAGTGGGGAGACCTGTGTGGCCGGAGCAGTTGGAAAAGAGAGTGGAGGCTGAGTCTGGGCTTTTAGAGAGAATCAACTTGGTGATCTCCCCCCGCAGTGGGGAGATCCGGGAGGGAGGACTCCCGGAGGAGATGTCCGAGTTGTCCTCCGGCAACAAAGGAGCGGGAGGTGTGCTCCCGGCAGAAGGCACGGCTAGTTCAAAGGCCTGGCAGCAGCGCCCAGTCTGCCGTTGAGGAAGCCGTGAGTGGTGTGGTGCGGCCAGAGTGGAGAGTAAGTGGGGATGGGGGGAGCAAGGCTGGGCGGAAGGAAGAGGATGGGTGATGAGGGCTCCTGGGGTCCTGGCCTGGGAGAACTAGGAGGGTGGTGGTGCCATCACTGCAATGGGAACAGAGGAGAAAGGGCAGACTTGGGGGACATGCTGAGTTAAATCGGGGCCCTGTTGAGTCGGAGCCGCCCAGGAACATGGAGGGGAGGAGACAGCTGGGTGGGAAGAGCTGGACTGGAGGCGCAGACCTGGTTTGCAGAGGAGGAGGTGCCCTGGTAAAGGGTGAGGTCTGGACACCATCAGCCGAGTGCACTGAGGTTGCGCTGAGGTTGCTGTGCAGAATCGGGCAGAGCCCACCTTGGTGCTTGGGGCCTCCATCCCCAGGGATGGTGGAAGGGGGTGTCCTCGCAGCAGGCATCCTCAAACATGACTTGGCAGCAGATGACGCCCGGGCCTCCCTCGAGGGGAATGAGTCATCCCAGGCAGAGGCGGGGGAACGGGAGCCGCCAAGGGCACCCGTTGCCTGGGCCATCCAAACACTTGTCAGGAGCATAAACACAGGAGCCTCTCTGATGTCAGGGCCACCTTCTGTGTCTGGCCCGGGTGGCTAGACCGCCTCCTCACAACTTTCCCTTCTGGCTGGTCCTCTGCCAGTCAAGGCCCTGGGCTCTCTGTCTGGATCGTAGCTGGTCCCCTGCTCAGCCTGGCCCTGGCGTCCACACAGCCTTCCAGGACGCAGACCGAGGCCGAACTGTTCCTGAAGTCAGCCCAGCCAGCGATGCTTAACCAGCTGTGACGAGGGCAGGAGCTGCCTGCTCTGTCCTGCTCCGTCTGGGCCTTCTCTCAGGGGCCCAGGTGGATGGGACTCATCCTAAGGAGAAGGTTTGGCCAAGCAGGATCTGGAGCCGGAGTCTGCATCCCTTGGGAATAGCCAGGCACCTGGGGGTGGGGGATGTTCCTGACGGGGCGCTGGGCCAGGCCTTCCCAGAGCCAGGGGACAGATAAGGGGTTCTACTATGTACATCCAGGCTCTTGCTTGGTGGCTTCCTGACAACACATCCCAGTCCCACATTGCCCCGGCACAAACGGCTTCGTTTTCCAGTCTTATCCACTTCCTTCTATAGCTCTGGGCGTTGGCAGGATGGTAGCCATCCATCTGATTCGCATATGAGGAAACTGAGGCTCTAACACACTCAATGTCTTGTTTAGGACAGCACAGCCCCAGCCTGTGAGGACAGCATTGGGGTAGCTTTTCCCAGTGCGTGAAGGCCTGCGTCTGACCATTCTAAGCTGCAGGCCTGGGCTGGACCCGGGAGGCCCCGCCTGCCCAGAGGAGTCCTTGCTCTGACCTGGGCCTGGCTCCCAGCCACTCTGTCTCTTTGCCCATGGGGTCCCTAGTTATTTGCCGAATCAGTTGCTACAAAGCATCTACCAGGGCCTAAGGTTGGGGCAGGCCTGGAGAGACCCCGTAGGGGAGCCCCCAGAGAGACCTGGGGTCTGCCCAAGACACACAGCCCAGCCCAGCATGCAGCCTCAGGATGGTGAACAGGTGACGGTGTGGGAAGTTCAAACTTGACCGGTGTTCAGGTTCCCATGGCCCCACAGTGCACGTGATCACACTTACACACCCATGTAGACCGCACTGATAGACTTCTGTCTCCACGCAGATGTGTGCCCATGTGGGGGTCCCCCCCCACATACACACAGACACATGCTGTCACCCCAGGCCCACAGCTCTGCTTGTACACATTGTCTCACGTGTGGACACATGCCCTCACATGCACAGTCCGGGGCGCCAGGCCCTGTCGCCTGGACACGAGGCAGGAGCCTGGGGCCTCCCGGGCCTCCTCCTGCTTAGTCACCTGAACTGGATCCAGGCGGGAGGGAGGGGGGAGGGCCTGACGTCAGCCCTCACAGCCGCCTTGTGCCGCCCGCCCGCGCATCCATCTGGGCGACAGCGTGTGCCAGGCAATCACAACAGCAGCAGCAGCACAACAACTCACTTTTACGGGGCTTCCTTCCTGGCAGGCCCAGTTCTGAGCCGGCATGGGCGTTCACTCCTTTACTCCTCACCACCACCGGCTCAGGGAGCCGAGAGGCCAGTCCCGTCCCCGTGTCGTCCCCCCCCCCCCCCCGTTCTGCAGGTGAGGAAAACCCAGGCGCACGGTGCAGTCACCTGCCCGTGGGCTTGCGGCCAGGAAGGTGCAGAGCCTAAACCAGGGCCAGGCCCCAGGCTCTGTAAGAAGCAAGAAGGCTCTGCCCTGACTTGCTGTGTGACCCCAGGGCCATCCCTGCCCTTGGCTGGGCCTTTCCCCCTCTGAGAAAAGGGAAAGGGAAATAAAGCAGGATGGGCTCTGGGAACAGCCTTCCTCAGGAAAATCATGCAAATGTTATGGGCCAGGGCCACCTTTACCCTCTGTGGGTGGGGGCTCTGTCCCGTGGTGCCTGCCCTGGTCCAGAGGGCACTGCTTCATTCCCTACTGTGGGCTGGGGCCTTGGGCTTGTTGGGGTCCCTTCTCTGAGGCTGTTTTCCCATCCGTCTAATGGGGATAGGGCTGTAATGATCACTATGGCAACCATTCATTCATTCAACAGATACTTACCAAGCTCCTACTCTGTGCCAGGCGCTGCTGCAGACACCGATGATTTTATGGAGACAAGGCAGACAAGAGCCTCAATGTACAGAGTTTTTATTCTGATGGGAGAAAAGGGGCCTGTAGAGTGAGGGGGACAGGCAGCAGGGCCCAGGGTGGGCCACCAACCGGGAGGAGGGGGATGGGTGGGCCAGGCTTGGAGGGCTCCCTTCAACTTTGGCTTCTTCCCTCCTGCAAGGGGCCTGGTTCTCAAAGCCTCCCTGGTCCTTTAACCCCATTCACTGCCCCCTTTCACTTCCTCCAGGGAGGCCTCTCGTGTTCCAACCTACTCACTTGTTCCTTTCTCAGCTCTTCCAGGGAGCCTCTCTGATGCGCCAGCTCTTCTCCTTTCTCATCTCCTCCAGGGAAACCTGGGCCTCTAGCCCCACCAACGGCCCCCACCTGCCTCGGGGCCTGCCCATCCCTGCTGCCCGCCCTCTCCGCCCTCTCCCACCTGCCTCGGGGCCTGGGCCTCATCTGGCCTTCGTCACTTCTTTAAAGGCCTGTCTCCAAACACAGCCCTGGGGCCTGGGGTCCGCCCCCCCCCCCCCCCCCCCCCCCCCCCCGCCTACACACACACACACACACTCTCACTCTTCCAGGTGCAGCCTCCTCTCTTTGCCTGTTACCAGTCTGGATTCCCTTCCCCCTTCCTTTCTGCATGTCAACAGCAGCTCCACCACTTCCAGGCTTCCATTCATCCAACACGGGGTGCCAGGCACAGGGGCCTGGAATGCCCCCTCACCCAGGATCCTTTTCCAAGCCTTGCTATGTCCCTAGGGACTCTGGGAAGGGAAGGTCTTGCATCCCTAGTACAGATGGGGAGACTGAGGCTCTGAGTCAGGAAGGAGCCTGCCCACGGCCCCACAGGAGCTTGGCTAGTGGGACTGGAAGCCAGCCCGGGCTCCTCTGTGGCCAGTGGACTCCAGTGAGCCCTGCCTCCTTGACAGCTGTCAAAGCAAGGTGACAGGGGAACGAGGGGGTGAAACAGACCGTGTTCTCCAGTGGCTCTACTGGGTCAGAGGAAGTTACCACCAGACAGGAAGGGCAGAGGGTCAGGGGTCACTCACTTCCTATTCTTGAGAAGATGCCTAGTTTGGCCCAGGAAGGGGGTGGGGCATCGAGCTGGGGTGGGGCCAGTGCTTGGCCCGAGGAGGAAATGGAGCCCCAGCCTGAGTGTCGGCGTTCAGCTTGGGGTCCAGCTTCAGCCGAGGACTGTGGGCAAGGGTAAGGGCTAGGGCTGGAGCTTGGAGGTGGATTCGGGGTTCGAGTTCTTGGCCTCTGGCCTGGGTTGGGGCTCAGACTGCCGTAGGGCCAGGGAGGGTGTGAGGCCAGGCCAGGGGGAGCATCTCAGCCTGAACAGATGTGGCATGCACTGTGGCCACACAAATACACTGGAAAAGTAAGTGAAGTCTCTGGACAGCCCCCAAAGCAGCAGCCCCTGCCCTGATGGACCCTGTCCTGGGCTGCAGGCTCTGCTGGGCCAGAGACGGGAGTAAGGGGAGACTTGCCCTGTGGCCCTGGGAGCCCCGGGGAAATCTTCCTGGAAGCAGTGAGAGGGGTGGGGGTTAGGGGCTCGAATATCAAAGAGGCCTCCCCGGAGGAGGAGGTGCAGGAGGTGCAGGAGGTGCAGGAGTTGCATGGGCCTGGAGCACCAGGGAGGCCCAGCGCCCAGCTCAGCTTCCAGGCAGCAGCCTTGGAATGCTCCACTGTCTACTGCCGAGGGGTGAGGCTGGTGAGTCACTGGTGAGTCACTGGGCTGTCTGCTGGTTGCCGGCCTCAGCTGACCCTGTACTCTGTTTCTCCCAAAGCTGTTCTGCCCGTGTCTGTCTGTTCTGACTCCAGATCATCAGATTCTCCCTGCTTCCCTGTGTAGCCAGCAAGGCAGACATGATTGTGCCTGTTTTACGGATGGGAATACTGAGGCCTAGAGGGCTGGTGTGCAGCAGAGCCAGATGAGTTCCTGGAAATCCTCCAGTTAGTAAGGACGGGTCCAAGATTGGCTACTGGCAACCCAGGCAGAGGGAATGGGCAGGGCAAAGGCATGGAGGTGGGACTCATAGGGTTGTGGCCACAATGGGAGAAGGGCCTAGAAATCTGACCTCCTTGCTCCGTGGCCAGAATTGAAGCCCTTTCTGCCCTCATTTCTCAGGTTCCCAATAAGGCTGCACGGAGGACCCCCTTGACGGTGGCGATGGAGGGGGGCCCAGCGGTCTGCTGCCAGGATCCCCGGGCAGAGCTGGTGGAGCGAGTGGCAGCCATCGATGTGGCCCGCTTGGAGGAGGCAGATGGTGGCCCGGGGCCTGCCAGGAACGGTGTGGAACCCCCACCACGGGCCAGAGCTGCCTCCATGATCCCCGGCAGTGCTTCAGGACTCCCCCTACCCCGACCCAGCCTCTCCACCAGGAAGCTGTCCCTGCAGGAGCGGCCAGCAGGAAGCTGCCTGGAGGCCCAGGCTGGGCCTTACACCACGGGGCCTGCCAGCCACATCTCCCCACGGGCCTGGCGGAGGCCCACCATCGAGTCCCACCGCGTGGCCATCTCGGATGCAGAGGTTGGTGGGTGGAGCAGAGCTAGGGGGTGCTCATGAGCTTTTCCCTCAGTGAAGACCCTTTCTCTTCCTAGCCCTGTGGTAGCTTTTGGCTTGCATACCCTCAAAGTTGAGGAGCTCACTACCTCACAATAAGGCCTCTTCCCACCCAGGGAACCTCCAACTGACCCGACCTCTGCATCCTATACATCCCACCATTCCCAATCCCACCCAGTCCAGACTTTGGAAGGAAACCCGCCCTTGTCACCCAAGAAGTCCTCTTAGAGATTTGAGGACAGACACAGTGTCCTCCCACCCCAAGACTTCCCCAGCTTGAACCCCACCTCGAATCCTGCTTCTACTCTGACTCAGAAGCTGCCAGCATGCTGCCAGCCTCCGGGCTCCCCCTGGCTCTGTCCTTGCCGCTTAGGTCTGAACGTGAACCTGAGTATGGAGCAATCTATAGCTTCAGAGGCTGAGCCTTTTATGCCTGAGCGAGGGCTCCGGTCTCTCGTTCCTCTTCTCATCCTTGTTCGTGCAATCTAGACCTCATATCCAGGCCTCTGGAAATGCTTGCTCACGGCTTTCTTACAGACTTGGGTCTCCCAGACCTCAGCTTCCAGGCAGGAATCAGTGCATTTTTCCTTAGCCAGGCTCCCCATTCATGAGGCATCTTGTCACTCTTAGTGGTCTTGTCACCACCAAGTTTCCCCCACCCCAACTTGAAAGGTTGCTGAAACCCCCTGGGGTCTGGGAATAAGGGGCCTGGGGCCCGGATTGATCCCTGAACAGGATCCCAAGGTGAGAACAATGCTGCCTCTGGATCAAGCTTTACCTGATGCTTCCTCTCCCCCCCAGGACTGTGTGCAGTTGAACCAGTACAAGCTGCAGAGTGAGATTGGCAAGGTAGGACTGGGGCTGGCCAGGAGCAGCGGGAATTTAGTTTGGGATTTTGCAGGCAGGCTGTCAGGATGCTCTGCTTGGTGCAGCCCCTTCTCCTCTGGGAATGTGAGGCAGACAGGAAGGCCCAGGCCTGGGAGTGAGGAAGATTTTTCTCCTGTAGGAAATGACTGGTGTGGGTGGGGCTGATGGGAGATGAGTCCTGATTCCTGACTCCCCAGAGTTGTGGGTTTTTTTTAAAATATGTTTTTATTGATTTTTTTAGAAAGAGAGGGAGAGAGAGAAAAAACTTTGTTGGGCTGCCTCCTCAAGGCCCCCCCCCCCCCCCCCGGGATGGAGCCCATAACTTGGGCATATGCCCTGACCGGGAATCACACTGGCGACCTCTCGGTACATGAGATGATGCTCAACCCACTGAGCCACACTGGCCAGGGCTCCCCAGGGTTTTGATGGAAGACTCGGAGGGACTGGGGGAAGCATGGAGCTGCATTGAGCCAGGCAGGGGCAGTTACCAAGGCAGGCCTGAAATGTAAGCCGTTGGTGGTGAGCGTGGAGATGGGATGCAGGAGGAGGGGCCAGAGCTGTTGGGCTCCCCTTGGCCTGAACCGGCCCTGGGGGAGGGTGCTCTGCCCAGGCAGGGCTGACCTGTGCCTATTCGCAGGGTGCCTACGGCGTGGTGAGGCTGGCCTATAACGAAAGTGAAGACAGGCACTATGTGAGTCTAGGGATAGGAGGGGGGTGTTGCCCCAGCCCGGCCCTGGAAACCTGGGGGGTGGGCAGGCGCTGTGCTGGGAAGACAGAGGACGACCCTGTCTCTGAAGGGAGGGAACTCCCTGTCCCTAGGGGTATGCAAAGGAAGTGACCTTCTTGACCCTGGTCATATGCAGTCAGAGGCTGATACCTCTGAGGGCAGAGCTCCAGAAAGGCATTTTGGAGAAGAGGGGTAAGGCCTATGTGGCCACCTCCTCACCCAGCTTAACCACTCCCAGCCGCACCCTTAGCGGCATGGCAGGTACCACATGTGACCCGCCTGTCCTGCCCCCTGGTGGCTGCACACAAGTGACATGCCTGCCCCTCCCTCCTTAGGCAATGAAAGTCCTTTCCAAAAAGAAGTTACTGAAGCAGTATGGCTTTCCACGTATGTATCTATTGGGCCCTGTGCTTGGGGGCCCCTAGCTGGGGCATGAGTTGGGGGAGGGTGTGGGGGGGGGGGAGACGGAGGAGAAGGAGACCTCAGCCCCCTAGCTAGTTTTTGGTAGGACTGGGAGTGGAGGAGGGACAGCATGAGCAAAGGTCTGGTGGTGGGCATATGCTTGGTGGGTTGGCGACAAGACCATGGTCTTGCAAGTTTTTGCTTGAGGCTGGTTGCGAGGCGACAGGGGGGCCCAGACTCCTGCAACGGGCTTGCCTCCTCTTCCTGGCCACAGGTCGCCCTCCCCCGAGAGGGTCCCAGGCTGCCCAGGGAGGACCAGCCAAGCAGCTGCTGCCCCTGGACCGGGTGTACCAGGAGATCGCCATCCTGAAGAAGCTGGACCACGTGAATGTGGTGAAGCTGATCGAGGTAGGAGGCGGTGGTGAGCGGGTGGGTCCCTGTGCCCGAGTCGTGTAGAGCACAGACCCAGGGATCCTGCTGAGAGACACGTGTGGCTGAGGCCTCCAAGGACACAGCCAGACTTGGGACAGGGACTGCAGGGAGGCTTCAGGGGTCAGTTCAGGCTGGTCTGGGATGTTCTCGAGGTCTCCCTGAGGGCGAGCGTCGGTGATTCCTGAGGCCTCATCTGTCGGTGGATAGCTGCAAAGTATACTGGGGGCCCTGGGGCTGGGAGGTCAAGGAGGCTTGGCACTTCCACCCCAGGCCTCCTCAAGCCCTACCCCCATGTCTGCTCCCTCTGACCAGGTCCTGGATGACCCAGCTGAGGACAATCTCTATTTGGGTGAGTGACCCAACTCATTCCCCAAGCAGCTTACCTGGGGTCAGTCCAAGGGCTCCTCGGGGATACAGTGGCCTTCAGGGGGCCAGGGAGGAAATACACATTCTCCGGCCCTGGGTCCCCTTGCCCAGCCCTGCTGAACCAGGCTCAGAATATCCAGTTAGAGTCCAACAGATATTCCCAAGTGCCCACTCTGCTGATCAGAGAGACAATAGGTCAAGTAGACACAAGAAGCAGGCTCCCTGATGTGGGCTCCCAGACCCTGTCTGATAGCTCTGTGCCTCAGTTTCCTCACCTGTAAAATGGGGGTAATAATGGTATCTGCCACATGGGGTTGATTTGAAGAGTGAATGAGTCATTACATGCGAGAAGACATACTCGCTATGAATGCTAATGTTGTTGTTAAATTAAGTTCCCGGTGCCTGATTCGTGGTTGGGCTCTGGAGGCCACAGGAAAAGGGGCAGAAGGAATGAACACTGGCTTACAAATGAGAGGCCAAGGCTTAGGCTCCACTCCCTCTCCTACCTGCCTATCTGTTATGACCTTTAGGAAAATTTCTGCCCCTTCTGGGCCTCAGTTACCCCACCCTTGCCCCGTGAAAGGGGTCCACGCTGTATCAGATGAGGCGGGTCCATAGTAGACCCCACTCTTATCCATTTACCTCCTCTGATACCGTGGGACCCCTGTCCTGTCCCTCCCTCAAGGATGCCTGGTTGCCTGCCCCCTCCTTCACCCTCCAGAGCAGGGAGGGGCCTTGGCATCACCTGCTCTGCCAGCCTGGCTGCACCTTACCTTCTTTTCTTTTCTTTTCTTTCAGTGTTTGACCTCCTGAGAAAGGGGTGAGTTCCCCATTCCGATCAGGCAGGTCAAGTCTCACCCAGGCCTTCCTTTCCCTTCCTGTGTCCCTAGTCCTAGGGTCAGCTGCTCTGGGAGAAGGCAGAGGCCCGGGCCCTGCTTTGGGAAGCTCTGGGCTGGGGGGGATGAGAGACCAAGAGGACAATCCTTTGAAAGAGGTCAGTGAGGCTGGAGTAGTGTAGTCAGGGAGGCCTCTGGAAGAGGGGTGTGTTTTGAACCAGGCCTGGAAGAACTGGAAAGAAGATTTTGATGGAAGAGGAGTAGAACGGAGTGTTTCTCAAGCAAAAGTGTAGAGAAGGGACTCAACTCTTACCTCTCTTACCTGTATTCACATTGCAAGCAGTTCCTGCGGCTTGTTAAGTTTGTGAGTTGGGTGGGTGGGACTCCATTCACTCCCGTTTACAAGAGGGGAAGCTGAGGTTCAGAGCGGGTGAGTGGCTTGCCCAGCATCACACAGAAGTCACCAATGAAACCCAGGGGTCTAACTCGGTCTGCCTTCTTTGGCCGTCTCAGGGTGTTTGCAAAGCAGCAGACACGGAACAGTGGCCATGGGCCTGGGTGGACTGGAAGCCCTGATTGCTGAGGCCTTGAATCCAGGCTATAACTTGTCTCTCTGCTGGGGGGCTCCTAAAGACCTATTGGGGAGGAGACAGGCCATGGTGTCCCTTTCAGACTCGGAGGCTTTCAAATGTGTGTGTTTTGTAATTTATTGATTTGAGAGAGAGACATCGATTTGTTGTTCCACTTATGCATTCATTGGTTGATTTTCGTATGTGCCCTGCCCGGGGATCAAACCTGCAACCTTGGTGTATCCGGATGACACTCTAACCAACTGGGCCTTGCAAATGTTTTTGACCTCCATTCAAAGGGAGAAGCAGGGTTCACATTGCCATTTGCATCTGTCACTGAAACCAAAGTTTTACAAAACAGCGCATGTCCGTATTACACACGATCTACTCGGATATATTCTACTTCATTAGGAAAAAAGCAGTGTCAGGGTTCAGCTTGGGGTAGTCACCCACTAAATTGATTTCATGGCTCTATATTGGGTCTGGACCTGCAGTGTGAAAAAGATGGCTCGATGTGGCATCTTTACAACTGTCTGATTATAGGTAATAAAGTACTTAGAAGAAGGACTATCGCCCATCAGAAATTAAGATAAAGCTAATTTGAAATGACAGTGATCTGAAGGGATATTTGTGTCTATGTGTATTTCTAAATTTGTATCACATATGGGAGGAAAAAGCTAATATCTTAGGTTCTGGGGACCCATTTGAGGATAGAGGGCTCCTGGGAGGTCTCAGGTGGCCTGAAGGTCCCCGCCCCGGTTCCCCTTCCCCTGCTGTCTGCCTCTACTCAACCTGCTTCGGCTGAACACCCCTCGCCCCTCCCTCCACAGGCCGGTCATGGAGGTGCCCTGCGACAAGCCCTTCCCGGAGGAGCAAGCTCGCCTCTACCTGAGGGACATCATCCTGGGCCTTGAGTACTGTGAGTGAGGGGCGCCTGCCTCCCGCCTAGGACTGGGGACTGGGGATGGGGACAGGGGGCAGGGGGCAGGGGACAGGGGTGGGAGACACCGGAGGGGGCAGAGCCCAGGCTGAGAAGGCTCTGAGCCTGTGTTGTCAGTCAGTGCTGATCTGCCAGTCAGCTTCAGTTGGCGATGGGGCCATGGACCTGGGGGCAAGGCCTAAACCTCCTAAAAGGCTAGGGCAGTGGTTGGCAAACTGCGGCTCGCGAGCCACATGCGGCTCTTTGGCCCCTTGAGTGTGGCCACGAAGTTTCAATCGCACTGTACGTGCACGCCCGCACGTGGTATTTTGTGGAAGAGCCACACTCAAGGGGCTGCAGTTTGCTGACCACTGGTAGGAGAATGGGGTCCTTCCTGGTGCCTGGTCATCATCAAGTGACTCTGCGCCTTGGGTGTTCTGTCTGGCTCTCTCCCCTGCTGAGTTCTTAGCCACGCTTAGCCTCTCTGCAGGGCCTCAAGAGGGGTGGGAAGGAAGAGATGTACATCCAGCCGCTCGGAGCCTGTGCTGTCATGGAGCCTGTGGGTGGTGGCAGTGTGGGTTTACTGTGAGGGGCCCTAAGGGACAAGAGCTCAGGAGGGAGGATGTTATCTTAGCCTCTATCTCCAAGTCCCTTTATTCCTACTTATTCACTCACTTATGAGTACCTACTGAGTGATAGCTGGGGGCAGGGAGTTGACAAGGATCTCATGCCCAGTAGGAGGGACAGGAATCTAAGCAGGCAGATGACACAGTGCAGTGCCTGCCGGAGCTGGGGAGGCACGGGGCTGTCAGAGCACTGAGGGCTGAGGGAGGCTTCCTGGAGGATGCCACTTGGGACCAGGGTCCTGAAGGATGAGTAGGAGTTCGTTGGCCAGGCTTGCGGGATGGTGGGAGAAATACAGCAGGCAGAGAGAACTGGGTGGGCAGAGGCACAGAGCGGGTGGGCGTGGACTCTTGGAGAATGGGAAGAAGTTCAGTCTGGTTGAGGCATGAGGGCCGGGAATGCCTCCACAGAGGACGTTCCTGACTTCATGCTGTCGTGTTGTGAGCTCGGAGGCTTTGGGTAGCAGAGAGGCGTGATAGGGTGACACCTTAGAAAGCTCTGTCCAGCAGCTGCCTGGTGGCTGGCTGAAGGCGAGAGGCGGCCAGCTGGTTAGGGACGAGGCTGTTTCCACAGCCAAGTGACAGATGGTGAGCCCTGGATTAGGGCAGTGGCAGTGGGAGGAGACAGGAAGGAGGTGGGGTGGCCAGCACCAGTCCTGGGGAGGGCCCCCAGACACCTGGGCTTCTGGCCTGGTTTGGGGAGCAGGAGTGGGGCCCCCCTCTCTAAGATCTTAGCTTGGTTTGTCAGGAGCATATTCTTGCCCTGGGAGGACAGGATGAGAGCCCAGCAGAGGTGACAGGAACCAGGACTGTCTTTATCGCATTTGGGCCACTCTGATGCCCCCAGATTAATATTCTCTTTGTACATGTGGGGAAACTGAGGCACAGAGAGAGGAAGGCTTTGCCGAAAGTCCCTAGGAAGGCTTTGCCGAAAGTCCCTAGCAAGGGCCTTGAGGTATAGGCAGGGGGCATTTTTACTCTGGGCGTGGTCATTAGTATCCTGGGACTTTTTCTCAGTTGAGGATCTATCTCCCACCCTCTTTTCCCCTCAACAACTCCCCCCAAAACAAACAAACAAACAAAAATAAGCGAATCCCACCTGACTTTTGGGCAAAGCCTCATCAATACCCAGCTAATGAAGGTGAAGGGCTTCCTGGGTGGATGGGTGAGCACCAGGGGCTGACAGGCAGGTGAATGGAGGCTCGGGGTGCTGCGGACGGCCTCGCGATTCTGGTCCCTCGAAGGCAGACTTGAGGCAGCCCAGGAAGGCTCTGGCGGGAGCGTCCAGCCTGATGCTTACAGATGGAGCAAATTCAGTGGTGCAGCTGTGAAGCAGCTGGATCTGGAATAGATCTTAGAGTTGGGTCCGTGGGACTTGCTGATGAGTTGGCTGTGGGGTCTGAGAGAGAGAGACCTGAGCAACGGGCGACACGCTGTTAACAGGAAGGAAAAGACTGGCGGAGGAGCAGGGGTTTTCTGTTCTGTTTGTTTGGCGGTGACGGTGGTGGGGGTTCCCGAAAGGGAAATGGAGTTCTGGATTAGACGTCTTCTTGAGAAAGATCGAGCCGTCTACTGGATATCCATGTGGACAGAGAGCCTGGCGTTCAGCGGGGAGGCCAGGGTTTGAGTTAAGAATTTGAGACACTTTCCATGGTCAAATACACAGCCTCTTGAGACGGATAGGTTTGTGTCACATCCCTGTGCTCATCTGGCACAAGCACTGCAGGACCATTGGTGGTGTTGTTGTTATAGAACCCTCATTCACTCGTTCCCTTGGCCCCCAGCCTTCCTCCCCTCCTCTGCTTCCCTCTCCTGTTTCCCTCTCCATCTTTCCTCCTTCCCAACATCCTGGGTCTGTCTGTCCAGGGGAAGGTGTTTGCTGAGGAGGGAGCCTACAGTGCATGGCCCTGGGGCGGGGTCAGTGCCTTCTCCCCGCCTGAGCTGCCTGTCTTTTCCCAGCAGTGCTGAGCCTGAGAAGCAGGAAGAGTTCCCAGCCCGCTAGCGAAGGCTGACCCTTTCTCGGCCATGTGCATCCTGCAGGCCCAAGGCCTGGGATGCCCCCTTCCCTGGATCTCCTTCAGCCCAGAGTCCAGAGGGCTCAGGCAGTGCCTCTGCAGGATGCCCTGCAATCCCACCCTGAGTCCAAGGAGCAGGAGCATCTCTGGCCGTCTGCGTGGGGGATGGGACTGGGGAAGACTGGTAGGCTGTGGGCCTGCAGACTGTACCCACGTCATCTCTGGGAGAGCCAGGGATGGCCCGTGCACTCCCCTCCCCCAGTTTCCTCTGACCTGCCCCTCAGTAACAGGTGCCTTGATTGCCATGGAGAGAGCACTGGACTTGGAGTCCCAAGGCCCCTAAGAGTCCAGTCCTGGGTCTGGAGTTCTGGATTAGACGTCTTCTTGAGAAAGATTGGCCCGGCCTCAGTGCCTTCTCTGCAGAGCAGAGCAGGGGGCCCTGGAGTCCTCTTCTGGGGTCCCCCTGAGAGGAGTGTGTGTGGGCGCCTTCTCAGCTGGCTTCAGACAGGCTTCCCTGGCCAGGCGGCGGGTTTGGGCCACGGCCTGGGCCGCGGGCCCGGCCGGCGCTCCAGCTGCCTCTCTCCGCAGTGCACTGCCAGAAGATCGTCCACAGGGACATCAAGCCATCCAACCTGCTCCTGGGGGACGACGGGCACGTGAAGATCGCCGACTTCGGCGTCAGCAACCAGTTTGAGGGGAACGACGCCCAGCTGTCCAGCACGGCCGGCACCCCGGCGTTCATGGCCCCTGAGGCCATCTCCGATACCGGCCAGAGCTTCAGTGGGAAGGTGGCTCCCAGGGCCTGGGCTGGGTTGGGGTTCAGGTGAAGGGGTGGGGTAGCTTGCAGTGAGGCCTCATTTCCAAGCTGAGGATGCCAGGGTCCTGTATCTCGGGGGTGAACACCGAACGCAGTCCCTTCCTTCATAATTACCTCTGCCTAGAGTCTGACAAACGCCCAACTTCGGCCTCCTCTCGTGTCCCAGCAAAATGTCCCCAAGGCGCCCCTGCCAGCTGCTCTCTGCTCGGGGCTCTGGAGCAGGCAGAGCCCAGACAGCCCAGCTCTCTGCCCTTCTGGAGGGGGCAGGGTTTGAACTAGGCTTTGAAGAATGGGGAGGATTTGAGGAGGAGGTGGGGCCCAGAGAACATGGGGGCACAGGCTTGGGCCACGACGGGGCTTGGGCAGTGCGAGGCCTGGAAGTTTGGGTTTTCTCCTGAGTGAGAGGCAGTGGGCAAAGCTTTCTGAGCAGGGGCTGCAGTCCTGTGTGTCCCCCGCACATGCCTGTTCTCACCTGTGGAATGATGGCTCCCCCCCTGCACCCCCCATCCTGCCAAGGAGGCATGTGGATGCCTGTGTGGGGTGTGGGTGTGGAGCTCAAGAGAGAAGTCAGGGGTGTAGATAGAGATTCTTTTTTAATTTTCAATTTTTTAAAAATATGTTTTTATTGATTTGTTTTAGAGAGGAAGGGAGAGGGAGAGGAGATGGGAACATCAATCAGCTGCCTCCTGCATGCCCCCCACTGGGGATCAAGTCTGCAACCCGGGCATGTGCCCTGACTGGGAACTGAACCAGCAACCTCTTGGCATGGGAGGACACTCAGTCCACTGAGCCATACCAACTGGGCTAATTTTCAATTTTGATATAATTACAAATTTACTGAAAAAAAATATAAGAAATATATATATATCCAGATTCACCAGTTACTGACATTTTGTCCCATATACCTTTTCACCACTCTCCCTGTGTTTATGTGTAAGCGTATGACATTCTTCTGAACCATTGGAGAGTTAAGTTGGAGACCTCCTCCTCCTCTATCGTTAAATACCTCAGCGAATTTTTAAAAAAACAACAACAAGGACATTCTCTTATATAACCTCAGTACAATGATCAAAATTAGGGAGTGTATCACTGATGAAAGACTGTTATCTAATCAGCCTTGTTCAGATTTCACCACTTGTCCCGATACTGTCCTCAGAGCCCTGTCTTCTCTGGTTCAGGGCCGGATCCAGAGCCCGTTGCTTAATCCACTTGTCACATCCCTGGTGTCCTTTCATCTGGAAGAGCTTGGTTCTCTCTCTCCCCTGACCTTGACATTTTTGAAGAGAACAGGCCTGTTACTTTGTAGAATGATGTCAGTTTGCGTTTGTTTGTGTTCCTGGATTGGATTCAGATGAGGCATCTGTAGCGAGAATATGTAGGTAGAGATTTGAGAATATACTCCCATACGAGATAAAGCAGATACCAGGAGAGGAGGTGGGTTCCAGAAGGGGAAACAGAGTGAGAGCACATGCTAGAACCAGAGCGTGGGGGAGCTGGGGAGAGTTAGGGACTCGCCCTCGGCCTGGGCAGGGCTGTTTCTGGGGTCCGAAAGGAGGCATATGGTGGCTTCTCCAGTGGATCACTAGGACGAGGGATGATGAGCTGGTTTAGCATGTATAAGTTCAATACACCATCGTTTCCAGCCGCATTTGTGATGGGTACAGCAAATGCGACCTAGAGGTAAAAGAGGTTTGCACCTGTTGAGTTGAAAATGTATCTAGTTTGGGCCTGTTCCAAAGAAACTTGGAATCCCTGAAGGGCAGGGTCCTGTTCTGGTCACCCCTGTGCCCCAGGGCTCAGCACAGAGTCGGGCATGGAGCCAGGGCCTGGGAGTGTTTGCTGAGTGACTACATGACTGAGGAAGGAGGTTCCCTGCACGCCCTCTCCCACAGCCCACTGCAACTGGCAGGCAAGGGGTGTTGGTTCATTCTGGGGGGACTGATGGGAGCTGTTTTCTTCCTAGGCCTTGGATGTGTGGGCCACGGGGGTCACGCTGTACTGCTTTGTCTATGGGAAGGTGAGTGCTGGGTGGGCTGGCGCCATGGGCTGGGCCCAGCCGAACCAGGGTGGCTGACAGGAGCAGGCCCTTCCTCTGTGCGCTCAAGTGACATGACATTTGAAAGGGACCACTGGTCTCAGAGAAGACTGAGGGAAAAGAGGCTTTTCTGTTTTTCTCTTATCCCCTCGGGAGGGGTTTCATGTGCAGGCGTCCTGGGACAGCAGCCACCCCGAAGGCAGGGATGGATGGTGGAGTCGCCACCGCTCCAGCCGAGTGCCCGGGTCCTGTCCCTCTATACCATTCATTTACACACATTCACTCAGTCGGTCATTCATGCAACCAGTCGGTTTTGACTCCTGCTCTGGGTCAGGCTGGGCCTTGGGGACACCTGAACTGACTTGGCCGAGATCCCTGTCCCCAGGTGCTCCCGCTCTAGTGACCGCACTGAGGGGCAGGAGGGAACCTCAGTGAGCATGTTCCCAGAGCCCAGGCCTCGGAGTGGAGGCCTCCCTGCCGGCAGCTGTAACCGGGTGGGTACACCCAGCCTCACAGTTTCCTCAGTGACCGATTTGGTCAGTCGGTGTTTGTTGAGCACCTGCTGTGTGCCAGGCCCTGGACGAGTTAGACGAGGTTCCTCCGACTAAGGGGTCCTAGAGAGATGGGGCCGGTCTCCAGCACGCGTTAAGGCTCTGGGCCTACATCCTTCGTCTGCTTCTGCACCCCAGTGCCCGTTCATCGATGACTACATCCTGGCCCTGCACAGGAAGATCAAGAATGAGGACGTGGTGTTTCCTGAGGAGTGAGTAGTCCGCCACAGGGGCTCCTGCCCACCCCCGGGAGGCGGGCCTTTAGCAGAGCTTTTGCCCTGTGAAGCCCCACCCCCGCCTGCAGATCTGGAGGTGGGGGTGCTGCTCCTGGGAGGGCCCTGAGCCGATGGAGGTGGGACTGGCTCAGGGCCTCTGAGACATCTAGTGGGATGGGTCTCTGTGCAGATGGAGCTCTGAGGCTGGGAGTGGGGCAGGGTGACCATGTCACACATTCACACTGCTCCTTCACAGAAGGCCTCCAGGGGGGCCAGGGCACCACCCCCATGCAGACCCTGGACCCATGGGGAACCTCCCCCACACACACAGGTGGGCAGGGGTTTCCAGATGCCAATGTGCTGCCCCGTTTCACAGATGGAAAAGTGGAGTCCTGGGGGAGAGTTATCAGTGGGCCTGGGATTGGAAGCCAGTCCCTCCTCTCCCTCCCTTTGTGACTGAGGTCTCTGAGCCCAGAGGGACTGTATAGAGAGGCCGCCCTGCTCACCCACAGTTCTTCTGATAATGATGTTGGCTACCAAGGCTCCTCAGTCTTCAGGGCCCTCCTGCCATCTGCCCAAAGTGCCCAAGGCAGGTCACAAGCCAACCCAGGAGTTTTCTTCAGTGACCTCTGCTCTCCCGTGCCCACTGCCTGTCTGGTCCCCAAGCCCTCTAAAGTCCACCTCTTATCATCTCTTGGCTGCATTGCCACCTGGGTGCCTGCCTGGGTCTCCCTGCTGTCAGCCTCCATCCAGTCCAGCCACCACAGTCAGGCCAGGTTGACCCTGATAAAGCACAATAAGTCTCACCATACCTTCAGCTTTTTGCGAGGCTTCCCAGAGCCCACAGGGAGAGGCCACGCCCTGGCCCTGGCATTCCAGGATGTCTGGGTCCTGCCACCCCACAGCCTCCTTGCCCTGCAGCACTAGGCATCTGGATTCCGACCCTTCCCTGCCATGGCCAGTCTCCTGGGCCTCTGCTCGTGCAGGACCCCTGCCAGGCCAGCGTCCTCCCAGCCAGGATTCAGCACCTAGGACAGCAGAGGGCACCGGGGCCAGCAGTCCCAAGAGTGGGTTCCCTCTCTGCAGGCTTGTAGGGATGGGCTCCCCAAGAATGGTAGCAAAGAAGCCCAGAGTTTGGGCAGAGACAGTCCAGGCTGATGTGGGGCTGACTGTCCTGGTTCCCTGTCCCCTGAGTCCCTCCTCCCTGCCCTCACTCTGCTGGGCAGCCATGTGCTAACCCGCTCACCTCTCTGGGCCTCGGTCTCTATCATGTGAGAATCTTCCCTGCCACCTCCCAGGTGGAGGAGAGGATAAGACGCTGAGTGGCAGCGTCTGGTGTCCTATAAAGCGACTCTTCACATTATTCCAGGGGGCATCCCTAGGGGTGCCCCCCTGCTGTCTGAGCAATGAGGGATGGGTGTGTCTCTGCCCTGGAGTACTAATCAGGGAACCCCTGAAGCAGGATGGGGAGGGAGAGGTGGGAAGGAAAGGATCCTCATCAACCATTTCCCCTCATCTCTTTCCTTCCTCTCTTTAGGCCAAAGGTCAGCGAGGAGCTCAAGGACCTGATCCTGAAGATGCTAGACAAGAATCCCGAAAGGAGAATTGGGGTGCCAGACATCAAGGTGGGGGAACCATAGGCCTCAGTTTCTCCTGTGGTGAGCCCTACCCCGGGCCTTGTGGGTTGGTGGGCATTGGGTTCCCTCAAGGCTGTTGGTGGTGGCATGCCCACGGGCCTTTGCTCACTGGGTGTCTGACCCCTCCCTGCCCTCCTGACTTTGCAGTTGCACCCGTGGGTGACCAAGAACGGGGAGGAGCCCCTTCCCTCAGAGGAGGAGCACTGCAGCGTGGTGGAGGTGACCGAGGAGGAGGTGAAGAACTCGGTCAAGCTCATCCCCAGCTGGACCACAGTGGTAAGAGGGTGAGGGGTGCTGGGAGGAGGGCGTGGCCATCGCCCGAGACTAGCTCTCTGCTGGGCCCTGTGGGGGTGTAGAAGGCCACCTGGTGGGCCGGCCCCGATGCTACCAGAGGCCCCTGTTCTGCTGGCTTTCCTGGAACTGTCCTTGTGGCAGGAGGAGGGACAGAGTCGGAGAGCCAGGGTGCAGCAGTCTCTCCTGGCATGTCCCTCAGGCCGCTGCACAGCTTCCTCTGCGCTGTCCGGCACAAGCACTCCTCACCCCATCCTTCCCGCCTCAGCTAGGAGGCATTTCCCATGCCCTCAGGATAAAGCCCCACTTTCAGCTGGACATCCCAGGCCCCTCAAGGCCTCCTTCTGGCCTCTGAGCCCCCCAGGCACCAGTTGCACTGGGTTCCTGCCAATTCCCGGAATTCACCCTCAACCATCGTCCTCCGTGCCCTTATCCTTCCCTCTGCTGGAATACTCTTCCTTTCTCTGCCCACGCAGCACGGCCCACCTAGCAGCTGCCCCCCAGGGAGTCCGAGCAGAGGCTGCCAGTGGGTCTGGTGCTTGGGGGCCTGTGTTCCTCATGCTGACTGACCTGCCCTCCCTAGATCCTGGTAAAGTCTATGCTGAGAAAGCGGTCCTTTGGGAACCCGTTTGAGCCCCAAGCACGGAAGGAAGAGCGCTCCATGTCTGTCCCAGGAAACTTACTGTTGTAAGTACCGGTGGGCTGAGACCTGCAGGGCACCCCCTGGGGTGGGGCGGGGTGGGGGCACGTCCTCCCACTCTCACTGTCACTGGGCTGTGAGGCTGAACTGAAACCAAAATGTGGGGTTTGAGTCCGAGTTTGTTGTCTCACAAAACTGAAGAATGGATTCGCAGACAGAAGGGGTTAGTGGAAGCAACGTTTATTGAGAGAAGCCAGTCCTGGAAAAGGTACAGCTGGGGTTCCAAAAGCCGGCCAGTGTCCAGAGCTTCCGTTTTGTGTTGCAGTTGGGTGTAGTTCAGCATCCAAGCCAACTAAAGTCCATTAGTCCCATGTGTAGAGTCCCAGGTGGCTTATGGCACCGGAGCCAGGAACCTCGCACGCTGGAGAACGAGGGAGAGGAGTGCACGCTCTTTTGTATCCATGCTTGCTAGCTTCTGGTTGGTTCTTTCAAAGACTTCTGCCTTAGTAATAGTCTTGTGATTGGTTATTTGCAAGCTGCCTGTCTTAGTAATATCTATACATGTCTCCCGCATGTGCCTTTCTTTCCCGCCCAGCTGGGCTGTCTTAGTAACTCCGCCTAACTGGGTTCCCGGTTCTGCTTCCCCCTCCCTGGTCCCAGTCCCTGTCTACCTAGCTTCCCTCTGTCTCCTCAGGGGGAGACTCAGCTGGGCCTCCGAGGTGCCTGTTTGCACTCCTTTCCTCAGCCCATGGTAGGGTTTGCAGCAAGGCCACATGTCTGCTCCTCATAGAAGGGTGGCTCGGCTGTGGAGGGAGGGCGCTTCTGCCGACTTCCCGGCGTGGGGCAGCGCTGGCTGCTTTCCTGAGTGGCCCATGCTACCTCCAGCCATTGCGGAGGCCCTGTGCCTGGTCAGCGCTCTGTAAACGCTTGTTCAGCAAGTGAGCATGGACAGGCCAGCTGCCCGGGCCAGGGAAGAGGAACCCTCCTTTGCTGAAGGCTCCCTTCTGTGAACCAGGCATGTGTGGTCACCACCTGCTAGAAGTCAGAAAAGCAGTTCCTCAAATCTCTGAGAGCCTGGTCTTCAGCTTGTCCACCTTCTCCCACTAAAATAAAATAAAAGTCAGTTGGGGATGCCAACCAGGTCTGCTGGAGTTTGCGCACAGACCTGCAGACAGAAAGCCAGGCGAGGGTCCTGGACCCGCATTTGGCCCTGAGATGCGGGTGCCTTCCTCTGGCCGGGAAGGGAGCTGCAGGGAGGAGGAGCTGTGTCTCCAGCCTGCTGTGTGGGGAAGGCGTGCTCCCCAGAGGGAGCCAGACACAGTCCAGGTACCTCGGCCTCTCAGGAAGGAGTCTGTTCACTTGTGCTGTCCAGGGGCCCAGACAAGGGCTCTCTCAGGCCGCCCTCTCATGAGTGGGCCCTTTAGAAGTGCCGGTCCCCTCATCATGGACAAGCTGGTGTCTGCTCCCTGCCAGAGGTTGCTTACCCTCAAGGATATCCATATACCAACCTCTTTTCCTCCTCTTGACAGACTTTCTGGTCAGTGAGGGGTGAGGGGTAGAGTCTGGGAGAGGCCTTGGTGTCACTGAACTTCCCATTCCCTTGTCTCTTCAGTAAGTTGGCCAGGCCTGGGGAGGGGCTTCTCTGGCTCCTCTAGGTCTGCAGGCCTCGGTGATGGAATTGGGCTTAGTGCAGGGAATCACATACTTAGCATCCAATGCAGCCGCTTCTGAGAGTGAAAGAGGAAGCTATTACTAACGATGCCAGGACTACATGCATAGTCAAAGCCATGCCAGCAAACCTGGACATCTGGTCACCCTAGCTCAGTGCCTGTGACTCAGCGCCCCCTAGTGGTGGGACAGGCCAGTCACAGGCTAAAGACATCCTGTACCCACCTAATCTATGCCTCGCCCAGGGCTGGACTGCAAGTGAGGAAGGGAATCATTGTCCTTTTATAGCCATGTTAATGGGGAGACAGGCCAGTTCCCTTTATTAAGTACTGGGCCTAATACTCTCCAGCTATAAAATTCTGTAATTTTGTGACTCAAGTTTAATTTTGAAAAGCAGGTTTTAAATTTGTCCTTGATTGACTCTATTCTGTATGCTTTGGGATAATAGTTGAAACTCTACAGTCAAGTTAAATGGAATTGATCCTTTTTTAAGATATCAAAACCCGTTCATTGGTCATTTTAAAAAGAAAGGTCTTAGGGGGGAAATCGGATACTGGAATCTGTTGAACGTGTGACATCATCCCAAGATTGACGGGTTACTCTACCTGCACAAGACAAAGAAAGTGTAAAACCAAAGCTCCTCTGCTCAGGACTGTGGGGGCTGATCTAGGCCTACGTGGAAGGCCTGCGAGGGCGCAGGGAGGTCAGCCAAGTCCGATCGTGTGAGGCTCCAGACTTCATCTCTGGGCAGTAGGGAGCCATGAAGTGTTGTAAGCCAAGATTTGGGGTAGGGAGACCAGCAAGGGGCCACGACGCAGGAAGGCGAGCTTGGGATGCCTGTGAGTGTGCGGGAGAGTGTCCTTTCTGAGTGTATGTTCTGAGCCCTGAGGTCCCTCTGCCCCCTGTATCCCCTGAACAGGAAAGACGGGTGTGGTGAAGGCATCAAGAGCCCGGAGCTCCCTGGTGTCCAAGAAGATGAGGCTGCGTCTTGAGCCCCTGCATGCGCCCAGGGCCACCCAGCAACACGCTCATCCTGCGCCTCCAAAGGCCCCTGCACTCATGCCGACAGCCGCCCCTGCGGGCAGGGGGCTGGGGACTGTGGACCCTCTCCTGGCTCCCCTCCCCCCGTCATGCTGCATGACCTCTGCGCGTGTCCGAGACAGGATTGGAATGTGTGTCATCTGGGGTTTGGTGGGTAGGGCTCCCTCGAGCCTTTCTCCTCGTCTTGGCTCTCCCCGTGGAACCCACGTTGTGGGGAAGGTAGGTACGCTCGGTGCCTTAGAAACCCCACGTGGCTCGTCGGCAAGGCCCAGAGGCAGGAGGCAAGAAACCGAGATGGCAGGAGGAGGCCTGGCTTACCACCACTGCAGAGACCTCCCGCCGGGGCTGGGCAGGCCGGGCTCAGCTGCCACGCACATGGAGGGGTGTACCCTGCCCCCTCGGGGGGGGCGCTGCCAGAGCTCGAGTCTGCTGAGAACACTGGTATGGAGTCTCTGAGTCTTTGATGGGTGTTCCGGGGCCTCACTGGGGCAGGGGCCAGTATTGGAGAATTCAGATTCTCGTTCTGTTGTCTTTTACTTTTGTTTTTTACATGGGGGCAAGGGGCTACAAAGACCAGCTGGGAACAGCCAATGACCTCTCCAAAGCTTTGGGTGGCTCCTAGTGCCATAAAGCCCTTATGTGCAGCCAGGTGAGCTGAAC